CACATGCTCCAACCAAGTGAGCTAACTGGCCAGCCCAAACACAGTGCTTTAAAGAGAAAAATTAAGCACAAGGCATACTTTGCTGCTGTTGATGTGCTCTCACATGTACATATAAATAAGAATATTCCTTTGACTGCTGCAGCAAAAGCTTATGAATAACCTGAATGTCCATCCGTTGGAGAGCTGTTAAATCAGAGTCATACCTACCATGGGAGAAATGTAGTTATGAAAAGGCGCAAGGAGGATCTCTGTTCTGATATGTTACCAGGATGCACAGTTCAGTGGCAAAAGCACAGTGTAGACTGTGTTTGGTGTGCCATCACTGGTGAAAGAGAAGGCAGGGGAGGACATAGCCATGTGAGCATTTGGAAGTGCACAGTGGATGGAGAGCAAGAAATCCCTGCAGTGGTTGCCTCTGGGAGGGGGACAGGGGAGACTTACTGGCCGCTGTAATAAAGTTTCACACCTTTTAAAATGGGAGCATGAATGTGTTATCCAGTGAAAGAGGTTGATAAGCTTAATATTTTCAAATAAAAGAAAATGGCAAATCTCCTCCCTCAAATAAATAAAAGTACCGAGGAGGAGTAAGAGGGACCCTTTCACCTTTCCCTGGAGCAAGATTCCACTGGGAGGCAGCCTGTGCCTTCAGGGTCCTGGCGGGTGATAGGAACACCTGCCATCCCACCTGCGGGACCTGGTTCCTCCCCAGAACAGAGGCTTGGTCTGCATGGCACTTTATAGTCCTGAGCCCAGCTCTACCAATAGGCACCTGAGCCTCCCTACTAGCCCCTGAGCTCCTGGAGGCAGGGGCCGAACCTCATCCTGGGTATCATTGCCCAGCACCTGGTGCCAGGCCCGGCCCCAAGTGGGCAATTGCACTACACATACGCATGTGTGAGTTGAACTGGACACCCCAGCTCCTGACTCCCAGCTCTAGCCTGTTTAGAAACATTGCAGCTGTGTAACAAGGGTGCTGTTGGAGAGCTGCTTGCCATCAGCCAATTCTCGGTGATTGCTCGCCGCCTCTGTGGTTGGCCTGCTGCTGCTCCCCAACCCTGGCTGGGCCTAGAACCAAAGGCCCTTTTATAAGGGTGTGGAAAGAGATTCTTTTTTCCTTATTCAATTTTAAGTATGCAAATAGCATCTATTTTCCCCTTTGGAAAAATCACAGCTTTGCATATAAACCAAAATCACCTATAAACCAAAATCACCTCGCATCTTGCTTTTTCCACTCAATGGTATGTTCTTGAGACTTAACCCTGTTGAAGTATCTGGAGAGCTAGTTCATTCCTTGGCATTGTCATACAGTTTTGCACCAAATGAATGAACACATTTTGTTTAGGCTTTCCCTTGTTGCTGGACATTTGTGTTCTTATAGACCCAAGAGCTGCTCTCGACAACCTCGTGTGTGTCTCTTGGCCCACACAAGTGGTTTTCTTGGGAACATACCAGTTGCCAGGTCATAGGATGTGAAACTTTCAGTTTTAATAAATAATGTTAATTTGCCCTTCAAAATGGCTATGTTAATTTATTCCTATGTTAATTTATTCTCCTACTAGCACCTTTTGAGAATACCAGTTTCTCTACATCCTCACCAACACCTGATGTTATCAGGCGTTTTTATTTCTGCCAGTCTGAGGCATAGAGGATGGTGTCTGGTTTTGATTTGTTCCCTGATTTCTCAAGAGAATAAGCACCTTTGCTTGTGTTACTACTGACTGTCCCCATTCCCTTATCTGTGAATGGCCCGTGGGAGTACTTCACATTCACCGCTTTATTCATCCTACCTCTGAGGTCATATGGATATTCTCCTATATTGTCTTCTGGTAATTTTCTGCAATTTTTTTAAATAGAGCCCTACTGCCCCCCTTTTTGAAGTGAAGTTGGTGGGGGAGGGAGCCAGGAAATTCAGAGGGACAGTGAGATCTGGCAATTGGAGGTGTGTGGATGACCACAAAGTCTCATGTCACCTGTCACCTGCACTGGCCACTCCTGAGAGGCAGGGAGGCAGGCTTCTGAGGCCGCCACACACCAGGAATGAGCTGCCTGCGCTGAGTCCTTCCCACATTCCCACATCCCTCATGGTACCTCAGCACCCTGCATGGCTCCCTGTGACTCCAAGCCACATCCACAAAGGCTGCAGGCAAAGGTGGGCAAAACTGGGTTCTGTGCAGCACCTCTCTCTCCAGGGTTCCTCCTCCACCCAAGACACCATCCAGAGGTGAACAGACACTGTCCTTCAAGGCTTCAGGAGGGAATGCCCACGGCCAGTGTGTGGAGCAGCCCAGGGCATAAGAGGGTGCAGGAGTTCCTTAAAACTATACCTAAGAGACCCACCAACGAGTCACCCCAAACCATCATTTCCGTGATTTCCCTCCAGGACGGCGTTCTCTTGTAGTGGGTAGAAGCCGCTTCATTTCTCCTTAACTGCCCCCACAGCTTCTGAAAAGCGAGAGGCTCCCTTGCCGGGAGCCTTCCTGTCTCACTGGTACTCTCGCGTCTGAGTTTTCTTATGAAATCTCTCGCTGCGTTCTCACAGGACTTTGATGTCTCAATTACATTTCTGAGCGTTGTTCCGCTTTGGGGTTTTGTCCTTCCTTTTTTGTTCTTTGTGGCAGAGGCGGTAGGTCTTTTTCCCCCTGAAACCCCTAAGGCAGCTGGGCTTTATGAGGGAGTCGGGTTGCCTTCTGACAAAGCCCACTGTCACCAAAGCCCACTGTCATCACAGCGTGTGACTGGGTCTGCTTTCTCAGGTCAGACCCTCAGACAAATGAACTTCTTTTGTGAACGTGAAAAAAGAGGAAAGCTGAGTTGTCCCATTCAGAGTGGAGAACGAAAGAGGAGAAAAGAGGCAGGAGGGAGAGAAAGAGAAAGGAAAGAGAAAGGGGCTATGGTTTGTTCTATTTTCTTTTAAAAAAAAAGATTCTCATTGAGGAAAATGTTTAAAATATTAAGTAAAGAAAATAAACCTTACCTACCACAAAGAAAATACTTATAAGAATGAATGTGATGACTTTCATTTTTGATAATTCAGAAGACATCCAGAGAAAGTCATCCGGAATGGAACTGAAAATTCAGGATAAAATGTGTTTTTAAATCCTTTAAAATACTTGGCTGGTCTGTTGGGAAAGGGAAGAAGACTTTTGCCATCAATGAGAAGAAAGTACAATCTGCACAGTTACACCCATCTGGGGCTGGGTTTGCGATGAGGGTGTCTGGCTGTCTTAGGTGGTCATATGCTGGAGGGACAGAAGGGGGAGAAATTGACCTCTCATCCTTAGATCCAGATGAAAAGTAAGAAAGCGGGACAGGGGGCGGGGTTGGCGCAGAATCCCTGAAGAAAACCTGAGTGCGAATTTGTAATTCTGTGTTTTGGGGATCAGAATTCCCCCAGATACGTGGTTAAAGTGCTCCCAACAGAACTTACTGGGGTGATTGATAGAAGTGTTCCACAACTGGAATGTAGTAGTGTACAATTGTAAATTTACTAAAACTTAAACTGCACCCTTAAAATGGTTGAATTTTATGGCACATAGATTATACCTCAGTAAAGCTGTTAAGAAAAAAAAAACACTCACCTAGCATTGTTTCTCTAGTCATAGACTTCTGTTAATGTTTTGGCACATTTCTCTGCAGTTATATTTCTTTGTAGGAACACTTATTTTTAACATATCAACTCATAGTAAAACTCACAGTAATAAAATTTTTATCCTCTTTTTATTTAAAATTGTAATGTTTTCTACTGTCATTGCGATTATTTGCAAATATGATTTTTAATTTTGGTTTTTTCAAATGTATTTCAAAAGTATACTTTGAATACTTTCTCATTTTAAAATAATTTCAAGCAACAAAGTGGTACGTGGAACAAAAACGAAAGTTCTCCCATTTATACTTCCCACACACACACACTTCCACCCCCAATTCTCACTTCCCTCCCCACAGGTAACCTCTTTTCACAGTTTGGTTAAACATAATTTTTAAGTGGGTATATAATTTTCCATCTAATGGGAAAAAAATCATACTTAAGTTGTTCCCCTATTTGGGGACATTTAGGTTGTTTCCTGGTTCAGCTATCTTGTTTAAAACATGTGGCAGGTTAAAAAAAGAAAAATAAAGAAAAGAAAAAATAAACCCAATGTAAGAAAATTTTTAAAAATAGTAAAAATAAAACATATGTGGCAGAGGAATCCATTGGAGGGAACTCAAAGTAGACTGTAGATTTAATGGTTCTGTGTTACTTGCTTCATTTCACAGTCATCAAAGACAGGCACTGAATTAGACGTTGAACTGGAGGGATAATTTTAAAATAAGAGAAGGGACCTAGCATATGCTGAGGACCCCCTACACACAAGAACCCACACTAGAATGCTTTTCCTATCTGTTCTCATTTAACACACCAAACATCTCAAGACATGGGACATTATTCCCATTTTATAATTGGGAGAAATGTGATTCAGAGGGGCCAAATGCCTTGTCCAGGATCATATACCATCCGGTGCAGAGCTTGGCTGTGTATTGCCAGACACCAAGTTGAGTGCTCAGCGATTCTATAATGGCACAGGGGACTCTTGTTTTCTTGTCTTCGCTTGATTTAGACAAACCATCACAATTGTAACCTGCTATCGGTCTGTAAGAAAGTACTGAAATGTTACTGGGATTTTTGGACTGATGGTTATTTTTAAGCTACGGTTTGAGCACCTAATATGCAGTGAACATTAGTCTAATGCTTTATGTGCTTTATATCAGTCCTAACAAATAGCACTTTGAGGGAGTAGGCATTATACCTGTTTTTCAGATGAAGAATATGTGGCCCAGAGAGGGAAAGAAACTCGTCTAGCATAACTGGCAGAAGAGGGACTCAGACCCAGGTCTGTGTGATTCTAGGCCCAGGCTCTGACCCCTGAGCCTGCTGCCCAGCAGACGAGAGTCAGCTGGAATGTCTGCATCAGGATGGGTAGCCAGACAGTGCCTCATTCTGCTCTCTGGCTCCCTCCTCTCAGATAACAGCGACTTGATCGCGTGCACAGTGATCACCAAGGATGGCGGCATGGTCCAGAGATTCCTGGCTGTTGATATTTACCAGATGAGTTTGGTGGAGCCCGACGTGTCCAGGCTTGGCTGGGGAGTCGTCAAGTTTGCAGGCCTCCTACAGGTAAGATGACTAAAGACTCCAGTATCTCTTCTTGGTTGCCTGTACAAACACACACACAGTTGTCATCTTTACAATTAATTTTTAATGATACAAGGAATATGTGAACTAATTGTCACCGGAAGAAAGCTAAAACATCGCACAGATGCACAGATAAACACCGAGTCAGTCCTCTTTGACCAAAACCCTCCATCTTTTCACTTCCCTGCTCCACAACAGAGAACCTCCATTATTGGTCTGATCCTTCCAGATGTTTCTCTGCCAAGTGCACATATAAATGTAACTACATGGACTATGTTTTTAAATTGTGTACATACACTTGAGAGAGAGAATGTGTGTATTTCTTATGACATCACATTGAACATATTCTAAACTTTCCTTTTTTTACTTGATAGTATTTCTTATGGTATATAAATTATACCTCAATAAAGCTGTTAAGAAAAAATAAACACCCCACCTACCAGTCTTTTTCTAATGAAAGATTTCTGTTCATGATTTGGCACATTTCTTTACATTTGTACTTCTTTGTAGGGATACCTTTTTTTTTTAACATATCAAACTCATAAAATTTTAATCCTCTTTTTCATTTAAAATTGTAATGTTTTCCACTGTCATTGCAATTATTTGTAAGTATGATTTTTAACTTGGGTTAGCATATGCACACGTGCTGGTATCGTTTTTCACTGTTCTATGACTATGTACCAAGGCATGTTCATCTAATGTCCATTGGCTTTTTCTGTTTTTTTTTTACCAAACAGTGCTGCTGTGAAGAGAAATGTTCTTACTTCCTTATACACTTGGGCAAGATTTTCCTAGGCAGATACCAAGAAGTTGGGGTGTGCCTATTATAAATGTTAATAGATACTGCCAAATTCGTCTCTAAAATGATTGTTGCCAGTGGCAATTTATGAGAATTCCCTTCTCCTCACCTCCTGTGTAGCAGAAGTGGGCTCTAAATTGCCAAACACCAAGTTAGGGCTAGGGATTTCATTATGTTTGTCAGTGTGGTGGGTGACTAATGCCAGCTTGTTGAGTGAATGAAGCACAGAACCAGAAGGGCTGAAGACAGCTTTCCAGCTCACACTTCTGTCATACCCCTAGTCCCTGAATGTACAGCAGACACTTCAGGACTGAGATTTGTCCTACATTGAGGCAAACCATTTCCTTGCTGGACAGTCCTGGTTCTGGAAAGGCTTTGCCCAGGATGACCCCCCTCCACCTTGCCATCATGGGACCTGCTGGCTGTGTCGCACTCCCCATGAGAACCTTCCATGTATTTGAAGATGCTATTGAAACTTCTTCCCTAACCTCCTCCTCTTTAGAATCTTTCTATTTAAAAAAAAAATGTCTTTTACAGAGGGTGATGTGAAAACAATTGTAGAAGAATCTTTCATTTAAAAAAAAGACTTCCATGTAAGACATTGTCCATTAGGTAACTTATGCTTCTTATTTGTCTAGGCTTATGATCAATTTCCTTTAGAGTTTAGTGTCAGGAAGTGTTTTTCTCCCCTGAAGGATTAATACGTGCCCTCCATCAGACAATGAAAGCCACATAAACCTTTTTTTTTTTTGGTCGTCTTCCAATAGCTACTATTTGTCAGGTTCTTACTACCCACCACACTCCCTGCTCCAAATGCATAGTACCTCATCTAATCTTCCCTGCCGCTATTTGACACAGGTATTATTTCCAAAGAGCCCATGCCAAATGTAATGCCTAAGAATAGTAACCATCTTACTTCATGAGCCTTTTTCAACATTTTCCCCACCTCCTCTAGCATTTCTGACTTTGTGTTTATCTCCTATCTCATGCTTTTATCTCAAATCATCTCAAACCTTTATGGGAAGCAGATTTTCTATGCAGAGGCCATTCTGAGGTTTTAGATTGGATTCATCCTTGTGACACTTGCTACGCATTAGTTTCTTCCCCACCTTTGAAATATAGCTTGCTTCAAATATCTGCCTACTGGCCCTCCCTGTCCCTTTCTCAGGATTAGCTTTTTCCTTCAGGGACCAGAAGTTCCTCAAAGACATACAAATGGATACCAGTGATGCCCCATCCTTAGAGAAATAAGGAAGAAATGGGTTAGGAGATGAACGACTGCGTCTAAGATCGTGCCAGATGAAGACAGCAGTTTGGGTGTTAGCTCTGGTTTCTCAGAAGTGAGAAGTGCTGGAGTTTGCCTGTTGAATTACCTGGAAAGGCTGCTCTACCCTTTTCTCCACTGGCTGTCTTCAATCCTCATGGAAACGAGTTCCAGCCTACATAACCAGCAGCGGCTTTTTTGGGTTCCCCATGCCTCCTACCCTGTCTTCTCCCATGGGGTCTGGTCTGGTTTGTACCATCCTCAACTCTGGTAGACTTGGGAGGCTGTTGGTCTCCTTCAGAGCCAAAGCAGAGTTGAACTTGGGGGCCTCTTTCTAGGTGAGACATGGATCCCACAGCTTCTGAGCAGTTGCCATCCTCCCAAACCTGACCAAAACCCTTTTCCTTGCCCCCTCCCTGTGCAGGACATGCAGGTGACTGGTGTGGAGGATGACAGCCGTGCCCTGAACATCACCATCCACAAGCCTGCATCCAGCCCCCATTCCAAGCCCTTCCCCATCCTGCAGGCCACCTTCATTTTCTCAGACCATATCCGCTGCATCATTGCCAAGCAGCGCCTGGCCAAAGGCCGCATCCAGGCGAGGCGCATGAAGATGCAGAGGATAGCTGGTGAGTGGCCAGGCCCTGGCCGGGTGTCCTCTGGGCCCTCAGGGGGATAGAAGTAGCCACAGGACTGTCAGTGCGGTTCTCACACTGACCTTGAGCAGCCCTATAGCTTCTCTAGAAAAGGACACATACAGCTCAAGAATTAATTGTGCTTTACGAGATGATGGGGGATCTGCTCAGAATTTCTGCTTCCCAAGCGTTTGGTACCTAGAGAGTTTCTAGGGCTGCATGGAAGAGAAGGGGAGCCATCCCTAGCAGGCAAGACATCAGTGTGGGACAGCTGTTCTCTGTCCTCCACACTGAAGTTCTCAAGCTACAGTTACAGAGTGCTTTGATATTCCTCTACCACCTTCAATCCTAAACAACCCTTGAGGTCTGTAGGACCTGCTCTGCCCATTTGACAGAGGGGGGAACTGAGGCTTAGCAACTTGCCCCGTATCTCACTGGCAGCAAGTTGGCAGAACCCAAATGCAGACCTTGCTACTCTAAAGCTTACCCCTTCCTCCTCCCTGCTCCCCTTCCCAGCTCTCACGAGGGGCAGCCCTGCTTGGGGAGGGGCTGGGAACCAGCCCTGAATTTGTTTTACATTTCACAGGGATGATGGTGAATGTGTCAGGAAGGCCCAAGCTTTTTCAGAAATAAAGACACTGAAACAAGGGCATTCTGTTCTTCAGGTGGAAGGCAGAGCATTCTCAGGAAACAGGCATTCTGTCAACTCCTAAAATTATGAACAGTCTTTCTCAAGATACCTAGCGCCTTTTGGTTCGGGCATTCTGAGCCTCGCTCCATTCTGGTGTGGTTGCTGAGAGGATTTTTCAGCCCACTGGGGCAGGAGGGGGTTTTCTTAAGGGATAACCTAAAAATTAATCTTTGGAGGGTTTGGCTTGTAGATTCCATTGTTTATTGTGCATGCCTTGTTGATTTGCACAGCCTGCATCCCAAATAGTCGTCCCCACCTTATTTCTCGCTTAGCTGAAACTTGGCCTGCAAAATCATTACAGAAGCATTTCATAATGTGCAAAGTGAAATCATTCAGCCCTTTCTTTTAAGATTTATTTTCAGAGGGTTTTTTTATTTATTTTTTTTTTTTTGTAAAGCAATTTCTCACAGCTGGAGTGAAGGCCAAATATTTCATTTGAAAATTGAGAATTATGCCGTAAAGTGGCTGTTAGAACTAATGCCTTACATACTTAAATTGATTTTAAAAAGTCTCTCTGAATTGATACATCATGAGATTTGTCTATGGAAAGGAAGATAACAGCTATGACAGATAAACACACTCATAATACACATGTACATACGCGTATATATTCTTTCTCACCCAGTCCTCCCCCTGCACAGATATATAAATAGGAACTTTCAGGGCAGAATTGGCCCCCCTTGCTTTGGGGTCTGAAGCTAAGTCTTGAAGATCTTTTTTCACTGGAAGATGAGAATCCCGGGTAGAGATTGGCCCAGCATCATTCCATGCGAGGAGCCAGTCCTGGAAGCCCCTTCTTCTTGGTCTCAACCTCTGCCTGAACCTCTCACTGGATTTCCAGTTATGTTTTGAGCCTCAGTGGGATCTTTAGTGTACTGCTGGTCTCCCCTGCTCAAGAGCCTACTCCCTGCTTGGCATCTCCCAAGTAATGCCTGGCAGGGCCACAGCCACTACAGTGTGTCCCCCACCCCCAATCCTGTCCCTGCCCCCATCCTACATGCTGAGAATGAACCACGGTGTTGTTTGACTGTAGCCCTCCTGGACCTCCCAGTCCAGCCAACAACTGAAGTCCTGGGATTTGGACTCGGCTCCTCCACTTCCACCCAGCACCTGCCTTTCCGCTTCTACGACCAGGGTCGCCGGGGCAGCAGTGACCCCACGGTGCAGCGTTCTGTGTTTGCATCTGTGGACAAGGTGCCAGGTAAGCCAGCCCCCCATCCTGCACTGCAGCTGGCCCCATCATGGTGGGGGTTCAAGGGCTTTCTCTCTGTGGAGTCTGTGTGCACTGCCCTTCCTGTCTCAGAAATCCAGTCAGCTCGAAGCATCAGCTGTTCAGACTTTATCAAAGCATAGCACAAGATTAAACATGAGCCCCAGAAATAGATCTTGGCTTTCCCTTTGGTGTTTTGCCGCCTTGGTTTGGTTTTCCAGAGATTTTTTGAGTATGTGGAAGAACTTCTCAGAAGTAAGACTAAGTAATTTCTTGGAAATTTCTTGGAACTACTAAAATGATTAGTTATGAGGTTGTGGGAGAGTAATTTCCTTCTCCATGGATGATGACTAGAAGAAGATAGTGTGTGTGGTTTCTGTTAGAACCCCTGAAGAAGTGAGACTTCAGAAGAAGGCCGCTGCCCATGGGACCCTGTCCCTTTTTTCCATCTGGGAGCGTCTCTTCTCACTTTCTAATCTCTTCCTCCCCCTCTCCCCCCAAAAAGAGAAACTTGAAAGGAAAGTTCAAGGTCGATTTGGCAGAGCAGAAGGAACCACTTCTCCAGAAGACCAGGCTCTCCCCTTCCTGTTCTGACATGCCTGCTTTAAGTAAATCCATGTGCACCCCCATCCCTCGAAAGAGAGCCTTTCTCTTGATTAAAAATCTTTAGAAAACTGGCCAGGTTCTCCTCTACAACTTACCCCCTCCACATTTAGGGTTTCAAACTTAAATTTCAAGTGTTGTAAAACGTTTTCAAAAGTGGTAATTGATTTAAGAACAAAATGCAGCCATAAGAACCTGCCCAAAATCCAGGTCCTTCTTTTCACCCCCACCCCACATGATTTTTTCTGTTTTCATTCTTTGATTTGATTAATTCACTTAAGTATATATATCTGTTGTAGGCATATGGTTTTTAAAATTCTAAACTGGACATAATTAAATGAAAAATAAGTCTACTTTGCTCCAGAAGTAACCACCATTAACAATATATTACATATCCTTTCAGAAGTGTTTATTTGCATGTCATATATATGATTTTGTGTGTTTTTTCACATTGATTTATACACCACATATGTGATTCTGCACCTTGCCTCGTTTTACTTAATGTTCGCATTACATATTAGCACATATAAATCAACTTTATTCTCATTAACTGTTATATGGTGTTTTATCATATGGATAGACCAAAAAATATTTTATAACTTTTGAATTGATGGATATTTGGGTCACTTCCAGTGTTTTGCTCTTATGGTGTCAGAGTGAACATCATTGGGATATCTTTTTGTAATTGTGCACATCTCACATCTGTGAGATAAATTCCCAGTAGTGGATCTGCCAAGTCGAAAGGGAAGATTTTTAATCTTGATATATGTAGTCCCAACATGAACTCGAGAAAAAAAGTGCCCCAGTTCTCTCTGCCACCCGCAGCTTGTAACTGTTTTCATTCTTAAAACCAATCTTAGACTGCAAGATTGATTATAGCACCACATCTGTTTCCAGCTATGAAATGTGAAATGATTCTGCTTGTTCCAGAGTCTGGAGGTTCTTTGTTAAAAAATTCTCCAGGTTGCTTCATATTCTTTAGCAGTGGTTGCTAAGTAAATATAAGTTATGCCTGTGAGTCTAGGTTAATAAATACTGATTGGCCTGGTAAGAAATTATTTCTCTAGGGTCAGTAAGGCATCATTCAGTTTGGGAACTTACTGGTTAAGGAGAAAAGCCCAGGCCTTATTTCCACTCCAATCCTTTTTGGAGCAAGGTAGACTATAAATAAATAGAGCCAAGCGGCACATTTTCTAGCATCTGCATGATCATTTCTCTGTTTGCAAAATTCTTTACAGTGACATATTACTGACTCACCCTGCCTAGGCTTCCAGGGGAAGTGTGAGGTCATCCAGGACTGGGAGTGTGTTCCTGTCGACAGCCGCCTGGGCCTGCCTGGCAGGGTAGGTTGGCTCAGCTGGAATGTCCAGGGTCTTGTAGCTGGTCCCAGGTCAGGGAACTTGAGGCTGTGCCAACTGGGACTACAGCAAGTCAAAGGTAGCTGCTGAAGGCAGCCATCCACCCCTTGGTGGGGTCTCTCTCATGACTGCCCCTCAGGTACTGGGGTGGGGGTGGAAACCCCATTGTCACTTACGTACCCCCCAGGGTGACTGCCCTTTGTTACAGAGGCATCTCTGCCCTTCTGCCCTGGCTTGGCATTAGAGCTGTAACCTGAAGAGCAAGTTGAAATCCATGAGCTTTAACATGAGTTTGGGGGTGGTGGGACCTCTACGGAGAGGAGGGAACAGCGGCTGCCGCCTACCCCTTGTCATCTGCCTTCACGGCAGAGGCCACACAGCATCTTGGAATCCTCCTTAAATCTTCTCTCCACCTTCCCATACCTCCAGAAAATACCCTACCTTTTCTCCCCTCCCTAGACCATTCCTGAGATCACAGCAGCAGCCTCTTCAGTGTCCCCAGCTTCCGGTCTCATCTCCTGCCTTCCATTCAGTCAGCAGGATCTTTCTAGAACATAAATCTGATCATGTCATGCCCCTGCCTACAACCTTCAGGTAGCATCCTGTTGCACTTAGAACAAAATCCACATCTCTCCCTGTGATCTTGTGTGATCACTGTGAGATCCAGCCCCAGCTGGCCGCTCATGTGAAGTGTGGCCACGTTCACTCCATCCCCCACCCCAGTCGCACCAGTCCCTGCTGCTGCTGCTCTATGTCAGCACTTATCAAAGTTGTGGTTTGGGGACCCCTTTGTGCTCTTACAGAGTATTGAGGAACCCAGAGAGATTCAGTTTATGTAGATTATATCTGTAGATATTTATGGCATTAGAAATTTAAGATGCTTTTAATATTTACTTATTTATTTATTGAATAAATTCATTGCCTGTAAACAAATCACAGTCAGAAGAGCTGTTAAAAAGAAAAGAAAATAAACATATAACTCAGTTTTCTATGAACAATAACTCTGTTTTCCAAAACAACAGAAAAATTAATGTTTTACATTTTTACAACTCTCTTTAATGTCTGGCTTAATAGAAGCCAGCTGGATTCTCTTATCTGCCTCTGATTTCAATCTGTTGTGATTGTGTACATGATGTATTCTCTGGAAAACTCTTCCGTACACCCCTGTGAAAATGAATATAACAGGAAAATGATGTCTTTTCATTTTTGTAAAAACTGGGATTCCCAGACCACGTTTTGAGAACCACTACTGTAGATCACTGAGCCCTTTCCTGCCTCAGGGCCTTCGCAGTGGTGGTTCTTCCTAGATCTTGGTGTGGCTGCTCCCACTAATTGCTCAAGTCTACGTGCTGCCTCCTCAGAGAGGCCTTTTCTGATCTCCACTTCCGTGGCTAGGGTTACCCAACCCCCTCCATCACATTAGCCTGATTTTCTCCATGGAACTGTGGTTCTTCACCTGGCTGACATATTTGTGCACCTGAGTATAATCTTTCTCCATCATGGAGAATGTCACCTGTGTGGGAACCTAAGGGTCTGGCCTGTTCACCTCTCAGCACCTAGCACTGTGTCTTCATTCATTATTTGTTGAATGAAGAGTAAGCCCACACTTGTTCTCTGCACAGCCTTAGAGCAGATCCCATCAAATGCCTTCTCCCTTGTCTGAACTCCAGAAAGACAAGGCAATTCCCTCTGGGGCCCTAGACGTTTGGTGGTTTAGTCTGTGGTACTTTGACAAGGGAACAGGAGGGAACTGAGACCCCGGAAGATCTTAAGCAGCATTCCACTGCTTAGTTTATGTCGCCAAAGTGCATGAGAGGTGTGTCTAGGGACAGATGCACCTAGGTGATCGTTTGGGGTTGGTTACACATCAGCTGACTTTCGCCATTCTCTCCTTATTCAGAGGTTTGCAGACATCAAAGAGCAGGGCCAAGGGGGTGCTGGCTAGTGGTAGGAGAGTTGGTCACCAGAGCATGGCCTGGGCTGGCCTCTGAGGCTGGTGCTGCGCATCCACAGCTGTCCCTGAGGCCCGAGGGTACTGCACCATGACCCCTCCTGCCTTCTGGAGTGCTAGTGCTGTGTGTCCGTTGCCATAGGCCGCACTGTTGCAAAACCCCAGGCTGCACGGATCCTTGCTCCTGCCTGGGGAGTAATTCACAAGGAAGGAAACAGCTCTGCCAAGTGCCTTGCAGTGACTCCTAGAGGAGTTTGCTTTATTAAGAAGCATCTTCTGATTTTACCTGTGAAGCCAAGTAATTGTCATAGAGCAGTTTCTCTCCCCTTTAGAAGCTATAAACAATTATACTTGATGAAAATATAACTTTCTTTTCCTTGGTGGAGATATTAAAGAAGAGTATACATCAGGGCTCATAGGTGGCTATCCCCTTCGGTATATTTTTCTCCCATTTGGCTTAGAAAGAAATTGTAAATTCTATTTACTGGCCAGTTTTAATGTTTGTGGCTCTCACCCCATAGAATGTTCAGCTGCATGAGGGCAGAGGCTGTATGTACACCTGGCCAGGGAAGAAGGAGTTGGTGGTGGCTGGTATGTTGGCAGTGGGCAGACATGAACAGGTCCAGACTCTAGCCTGAGCTCTCTGTGGCTTTGAGGTGCATCACTTCTGTGATTAGAGCCCTCACGACCCATCCCACCCAGCCACAGCAACAGCTTCTTTCCAGAATCTGCCATGGCTGGTCCAAGACTAGCCCACAAGGCCTGTCTTTCCATAAATTCCAAGTGACCAGCAGACACCAGAGCAGAAGCTGTTCCTCTTAAGTGACCTCGGGGCGTTGGGGGCAGCAGCCTCCATTCAAAGGGCCAGAGTCCTAGCCTCCCAGAGTAGCCACGTTCCTCACTTCTGGGCTCCTTTTGGCCCAGAGGCTGCTTCGGAAGGCCTCAGCGGACCAGAGACTGCTTACAGGTGTTCACCTGGTGGGGGAGGTGGAGTGGGAAGTGTTATAGGGATTTGAGTGAAGCAGCCAGGTAGGTTGACCTCCACTGGCCCTCATTGATGGGGGCTTCGTGACTCCTCA